AAAACGAGAAATGAAGGCTTTTCATTTTATATCAGCTCCTTGAGGTTTCCTAAGACTCACGTAAATAGTTATTGGAGATCCCGATTCCTTAAGCTTTGATCCCCAAGATTGGCTGTAGCTCAGATCACCATGTTTTTTGTTTCAGCTCAGAGAGTGGCAACAGTGTGAAAAGACTGAAACCGGACCCTGACCCAGATGACAAGAATCAAGGTTGGTGGCAGCCTTCATTTCTTTCTCATAATACACATGAACCGCAGTGAAGGGCTGGAATGCATTGCATCTGCAGACGAATGCGTTTTTCTCTCTTTAAGCAAGCCTGCCTAGACTTAATTTACAGACCATTTTATACTCGGCAGGATTTATATGCAAGACTTTGTCAGTCGCCTTGCAAAAGTAATATGTTAGAAACCTGCCGAACCGGGTTCAATGCCCGCTGCCCAGGAAGCCACCAGTATACTGAGTCAGCAGGTTTTACGGCAGAGAAGGAGTCTTTATTCCGCATAGCACTAAGCATGGAGATGGGAGAAATTTCTCAAATCCGCCTCCCAGAGCATTTGGCAGACAGAGGTTTTAAGGGTAGTTTGGTAGGCAAGGGATTAGGCAATTAGGTTTATTAACTGGGGCAAAATTATAGGAGTATGGGAATCATCTTCTTGTGTTGTTATTGTCCCTGGGGTCACAATTCCAGTTCAGTCGGTTTGTTGGTATGGGCCACTGGTCTGCATGGGTCAGTCAATTCACTGAAATGCAGGGCCTGGAAGATACCTTAAAAACTACCGTTAGGTTTCAAAAAGGTGATGTTATCTATGGAGAAACTTAAGAGTCTATATGGACACCAATTATGGGGAGAAGTTAAGAATCTTTATGGACACCAGCTATGGGGAGAAGTTAAGAATTTATATGACCACCAGCTATGTGGCTCCGGAGTGGCAATTGTAGAGAAGCAAACGGGGAAAAGCGACTAGTTACTATCATTATTTTTAGCTAGGCTTTTACCATAGTTCTCACCTTGTGCCCCGTTATTGAAGGGCAGTTTCAAAACCAGTGGAGCTGATAAATGACGATTGTGCTTTCCCAGGAATGCCTTGGTCGTATCACTTCTCACAAAGTTTTTTTTTTTTTCCTGTCTCCCTCAAATGTCAAGGTTCTTGATTTCACTTGGCTTGCTACTGGTGGGAGGTAAAATGCTTGCTTCTGCTGATTGCTGGATTGGATTGAGCCCAGAAGCTTAACATAATCTCTAGGAGTACACTTCCTTTGGTTTTTACCTTCGTGCGATGAAATCTGCCTCTGTATAAAGGGGCAAGAAGTTGTAAGTGAAGATGAATGTTCCTGGGGCTGGATTAGGGATGAGAAATTCAAGAGTCTTGTTTTTAGTTCCACCCCTAACTCGCTGTGGGATTAATACTGTGAACTAAATTCCATGGGTCAACAGGGCTTACATTTATTTCTCTCTCAAAAAAATGCTTTTTAATGTATACCTACTGAGCTCCAGTGATGGTGAGCTGTTGCTGTTACCCTTTTGCTCTAGAACTTACTTTTAAAATGGACATTCAATGAAGAGACTCCCAACCATATCCACTTCCATCCAATGATCCTTAGAGGGAAACAGCATTATACATTTCTTATGTATCCTTCCAGAGCTATGTATACATACATACATTACAAATA